ATATGGTATAATAGCACTTCAAGTCACATTGTCGTCAGTTTGCGGGCAGCATTGATATTTAGACGATATCGCATTGCAGAGATATTTTAATGCAATTTCCGTTTTTCTGCCAAAAGCTAGATTTCTTGGAGAACATGCTCATCATAATCATGATCATGATCATATGCAAATGAAAAATGATAATATTATCCGAAGTGAATGCATTGAGTTGCTAACGGTCGAACTAACTCATTTAAGCGCACTTTCAGAGTTCAGTTCTATGTAATGTTGGAACTGTGATGCTGAACCGCTTTGTGTGCAAATAAGCAGCAATGTGTTTGTTATCAAATATGCGTATGTGCACATTGAATATTATTGGTATACAACATGTAAACACTACTTAATACATGTTGATTGTGTATTAGTATTTATGCATACATACATACTTCTTATACAAATATATATATGAATGTAGGGAAACGAAAATTTTAAAAATTAAATTTGCGGAAGGAAGCTTGTTCTCGCAATTGCGAGTGCTTGTTGTTGTAAAGAATGCGCCGCTGTCTCTAGCATTTTTCGTCTACTTTTTCTCCTTCTTCTTCCCCAATATCCATCATCATCCTCTTCATCACCGTCAACATCATCATCCTATCGCTAAGCCTGAAATTCATCAATCTTATGTCCAAACCCTCCCTCAACTTACTTTCCTCATCTTCAGTTCAACTGATAAGCCTAAGCTCTAGTTTATGTTCACGAATGATGATTCTGTGATGGTATCTACAAACAGTGTTCTCTTACAATTCCCAATTGCAGTTGTAATTAAGAACATATTTTGTTGAAGAATCTTTTACATGAAGTTGATTGTTTTTGTTATTATTTTGTTGTTTTGTTGAACTCTATCAGGCAGCAATAATAATTTATTTGTTGATTTGTCAGTGATTGACACATCCACCACATCCGTCCATCCACCCATCTATTCGTCCATCCATCTATCAATCTATTCATCCACTGATCGCTCGCGTGCTAGATATCTGGGTTTATGTATATAGATACCGTGGAATTGACTCGTTGAAGTTGTTGTCAAGAGTGAAGCTTGAGGTTGAATTTTTCGCCTTTCGAAACTCAAAATTCGTCTTTTCGAAATTTCGTTGTTGAAGCGCGCCGAATGTTTAGTAGGCTTAAGCTTCAAGAGTTGTGCAGTGCGGAGCAAATTCCGCTTATTATTATTATTATTATTGTTATTAGTATTATTATTATTATTATTATTATTAGAAGTATAAGTTTGATTAAATTGCATATTAAAAAACCCGTATGGAATCGAGTGTATTGGAAATTATTATAAATAGTATTAAGAAGAAGAGTAGTTTGTTTATTTGTTTTTAGTCGGTCATTGTTTCAAGATTTTTTTCACTATTTATAGGTATTTATTCGAAATTGCAATGTGCCGCTGAATGCGCAGCCGTTTGGCTGGTTAGCTATATTCGTTCATCCATCAATCCGATTGTTGCTTACGCTCATCGATTTGCCATCGTTTCGCATTTTTTCCCCAGCACCATCAATAATAAATTTTAAAGTTTTTTTGTCAATAAAAGTTATTGATGAGTTAGCAGTAATAAAGCTAAACAAAATATACCTACGTACGAACGTGTTTTCACAATTCCAGAAGCATTGTTCGCTGATTGATTGAAATAGCTGTGGCACTAAACAATTCTGAATCTCTTCAGATGAGACAATAGAACAAGCACAGAGTGTGGAAGCTAAGCACAACTAAGCTAAACTCAACTCAGTTCTATTCAGCAAAACAAATGAAATTCAAGAAAAATTTCACATCGTTGAAGTGCATTCATCGCATTCTTGAATGGTGTATAATTTTACGTACATAAACGAGTTGAGCATGATGAAGAATATGCTCATGATCACTATTTTTCTCATGAGCATGAAGAATATTTCCGCCTACGAGCCTCATCCTATAGTCCTCACATTTCTGTTCTCTTCTGTTTTTTTTTCTCAATTCACCCCTCTTCACTTCAACCCAATACCAGAACAAGTCCGGCAGATTGTTCGTTTAATGATGTTTTCTTTGTTTTTTTTTTGAGAAATGAAATAGAATATTATCATCAATCTTTTTGTTGAGAAGAAAAGTTTTGAATAGCCCGACTGATTAATTTACATCGTATTTATGCACTGTTATTTTATATTATATTTGCAATCATTCATTTATATTTACAAACATATTTATTGCACATAACATTTTGGAGTTATTTTCAAAAAACATTTTCAAAGTAATGCATGTGCATTTATCAGTACATTCATCCATCAGTTTATTCATCAATCACTATGCGAAATTCAACAAATACCAGCAATTATTCAAGTTTTTTTCTCATTTCAAAGTCTAAAATCGCTAATACGCCCTATATATCTATCTATCGATCTATTTATTTAGCTAGCTGTTACCTTACTCAAATGGCTTATTTGCAGGGTGCATATAAATAAATGGAT